GGATATGGTTTAGGGTTTAGGAGTTCCAGCAGTGACAGGTTAATGGTTGGACTTGATGATCCTAGAGGTCTCTTCCAACCTTGATGCTTCTATGATTCTATCTGGTTCTGTCCAATTCCAGTCTGCTGCCTTTCCTGAGCAAGGCAAGGAGCACTGGGTGGTGAAATGTGTGGACATGGGGCAGTGTCATGGGGAACTCAGCTGGGGGATGTTGCTGTCAGCAAGTGCAGCGAGACCAAGGACTGGTGAGTGCCACAGGGCTGGGCAGCATGTCCTGGGGAAGCAGAGGTGGAGGGCAGGAAGCACAGGAACCAGGGCTGTGCTGGAAAGCTGAGAGCAGAGCAGGAGAGCCATGTGCCAGAGGAATGTGGATGAGCTGGAGTCAGGAAAGCGCTGGGTGCAGAGCTCCCTCGTGAGCTGAGAGACATGTTTAGCTCTGTCCTAGCTACTATGTTGAAAGTGCTTTTTTTCCACTGAATTAACCTAATAGCAAATGTTTGCAGTTGCCCATTTAAACAGCATTAGTTGGGTACATTAGCTGGCAGATGTGATCTCAAACCACAGTGCTGAACTAGGGTAACATTGCAGTTTGCCTCCATCCCTGCAGCCACACCAGCACTGGGACCACTTACGCTGTGGCATTTTCTGTCAGAGCAGCAGAATGGACAAGTGATTTGGCATATAAACAACTTTGTACACAAAAGTCTGACACAAACACAGAGCAATGTCTATTGCTACCATAGTCCAGACATCTAGATCTATGTTCAAAGCAACAAACATATTCTGCATCAGTGAATAAGCAGAAGCAGCAGCACTTAGGAAGGGAGAACCAACACCCAGAAACGCACAAGCCTGACTTGGCTGTGCTCTCTAAGAAGTCTGTATCAGGTAGCAAAGCCCAGGATTCACCTGATGGCTAGAGGAATCTGTGAGGAAAAGCATAAAAGTGGCCATGAGCAGTGTGTACAAGCTGTGAGGTGAAACCTTTCCCTCAGAACCTGCAGCCTCCGAAACGGCGGAGCCAGACCTGCCTGCAGGAGTCATGCTCAGTGCTCTAACATCACCATGTTCTCTCGTGATGCTGCTCCTGGGGTTTGGAAGCTTGGAAATCCTGTCCTCAAGTAACCATGCTTGTGAAAAACAGGGAAGACTGACAGCTGAGTGGTACACTTAGGGATTTCAGGCCTTGGGAATTAACTAGGATTGACTCTTTCTGTTGAAATCATCAGTAGTGGAATAGACAGCTGTGGTAAAAAGCCACAATGAGGCAAGGAGGTAAAATGTAATCTAATTGTTTAGCCTTATTTTGTAATGATCAGAGAGGAAAGGAGCCCATGTGGGTGCAAACTATCCCTCTCAGTTTCAATGCCAGATGACCTGTTACAGACACCTCTGTGCCTCTGTTGCTCATGGAGCTCAGACAGCTCACATGGAAACATCTCTACTCTGGGAGTCTGACTCTGCCTTCAAGTGTCCAAACTAACACCTGATGAATCTAAGGAAAGCAGTGACACACCCAAGAGCCTGCTGGCTGATGCTGGCAGGTCAGAAATGCTGCTGCAGCCAGGGCAGGTCACAGAGTGACCCCACTGCTCTGCTGGGGTCCATGTCCCCACACCAGAGAGGTGAGAACAGACCCAGTTGTACCTCTCAGGTGCCTCAGGAAGGCTGACAGCTGGAGATGGCACCCTGTGGCTCCCTGGGACACTGTCAGCATTCTGTGAGCCATCTGAACATCAGCAGGCACCTGCACTCCCCTCTGCCATCCCTGCCTGTAGTGCCCCTGGCCAGAGAGAGCAGCAGTGGGGGAACCCACTCCTCCCTGCTGCATCCAAGGGCTCTGCTCTGCCCCCACACCAGTACATAAACTCCACAGCTGCCCCAGAAGCAGGTTTCCAGCAGCCACAGAACAGCTCTTCTCTAAGCTCAGTTACAAGGCATCTCACTGGGAAGCAAATCCCTCACATATACCCAGCACTCTCCAAGCTGCACATTTCCCACACCCATTTTGCTCTCCTGTTTCACTCACATTTACTTCTCAGCTGATTTTTTCTCACTGAGTGGCTTTACCTTCCTCATGTTGTATTCCGAGCTGCTTTACTTTCCTCCTATTGTATTCTCAGCTATTTTACCACCATAAACCTGTGCTAGGTTTTCAGCTTTTGCCTTGCCTAATTCTCCTTCACCCCAGTCCAGCCTGGTTTTGAACACTGCCAGGGTTGGGGCAGCCACAGCCTCCCTGGGCAACCTGTGCCAATGTCTCACCACCCTCACAGCAAAAACTTCTTCCTGATACCTCTTCTAAATTTCCCTCTTTCAATTTCTCCCCATTGCTCCTTGTCCTGTCACTGCAGTTCCTAACACAGAGTCCCTCTGCTGCTTCCCTGGAGCCCCTTCAGCTCCTGGCAGGTTGCTCTGAGGTCTCCACACAGCCTTGTCTTCTCCAGGCTGAACAGCCCCAACTCTCTCAGCCTGTCCTTGTAGGGAAGGTGCTCCAGTGCTCTGATCAGCTTTGTGGCCTCCCCTGGACTTGCTCCAAGAGTTCCATGTTTTCTGATGTTGGGGACACCAGAGCTGTGTGCAGGACTCCAGGTGGGTCTCACCAGAGCAGAGGAGAGGGGGAGAATTCCCTCCCTCACCTGCTGCCACACTCCACACTGCCCCTGCCACCTCCACTGAGCAAGGCTGTCACACAGCCAAGGTCAGAGCTGTGACACTGGGGCAACAATCAGCAGTGCTGCCTCTTCTGCAGGGCCTGGGACACATCTCGAGCTCTCCCATAGTTCCCTGTTCAGCCACAGCTCCAATACATTTCCCTGCAGCAGCAGAACAGGCTGGAGAGGCTCTGCAGCAGCAGGGTCAGGGCTCTGCCTGTCCCCTGATATGCTGCTGCGCAGGGAGTGATGCTCTGGGCATCTTCTGTCCTCCCTGTTCTGCCACATGGCTGAGCTGCACACAAGAGGCTTTGCTGCAGAGGGGCAGAACAGGCTCTAAGTGTTCGCAAAAGGATAAGGAATCAGGAACATCTGGACCCTCAGAGAGTTGAGGCTGCCACATTGGCTCCTCTGTCTCTGGCTGTGTAGTTGCTGCACATTCAAAAGCCTTTCATTAATCCTCCAGCTTCAATTTGGCAGCAGAGTCTGCATGAAATGACAAATGTTGTATGGGCCAGACCCGTCCACATGGCATCAGAGAGGGGGAGAGGGTACAACACTGATATATGACAGGTGACAGGCTGCACAGCACCTGCATTGCTCCCCTGCTATGTCCACCCCCCATCTCCCATCTCCTTCCTCCTCCAGTCTCTTCTTCCTCCTCCAGTCCCTCCTCCCTCACTGCCTGTCCCTTGCACTCAGAGCCTGTGGCACAGACCCAGCAGGTTTTCTTGAGCTGTGCTATCCCTGTGCTCCTTGTCCCTGCCCAGCAGGTTTTCTTGAGCTGTGCTATTCCTGTGCTCCCTGTCCCTAAGCTCCCTGCTCCTTCCCTGCCTGCCACACCAAGAGCAGCACCCAGCACTCAGGGATTGCTGCTGCTGAAGCACAGAACCACGGAAATAATCATGTTGGAAAAGACCTCTGAGCTCATCAAGTCCAACCTGTGACCTAACACCACCTTATCAACTAGACCATGGCACTAAGTGCCATGTCCAGTCTCCCCTCAAACACCTGAATGTGGCCACAGAGAAGAAGGAGAAGCTCCTCTCTCCAGCAACATAAGGATGTTGAGTGATGGTCCTGTCTGAACAGTTCTGATAGAAGCACAGAGTATCGTGAGCTGGAAGGGACCCATAAGGATCATCAGCTCAACTCCTGCCCTGCACAGGACACCCTCACAATCCACCCTGTGCCTGAGAGCACTGGCCAAATATGTCCCCTTCTGAGGCAAACTACTGAAAATTTGGAAGGAGTAAATGACTGAGCATGTCCTGTCTGCCAACTGCTCTCAGAGTCTGACTCATTCCCAACTTTTCCCAGAGTGCAGAGTGGCTGTGCAATGGAGAGCAAGGAAAATCTGCTGTGAGCAAGCAGTGCCTTTGGAAGTGCAAACCCTCATCCTGGGGCACATGGAACTGCCTCAGGCAAGCTGCCTGGAACTCCAGCACTGCAGCAGCCCCAAGCAATCAAT